CGAAATGTATATTTCGATAAAAATCTATCATACGATTCAAAGGGAGTCAGATATAGGGCCACCAAAAGTTCCAATCTCATTTGTCAACATGGTTACTACAGTTTCCAAGTTTATTCTTCACACAAAAATTATTGTTACTATTTTTAGCCCTACGAATTGATATTCCTTGTTTTACGAAAAAGACTATCCTGCATTTTAAGTCAATATGAAGTCAGAAAACAGCCTCAATAAATGAAATTTAGGGATTCTAAATAATCAGTATGCACTGTGTGAATTGGACGCATATCATAGCGGTAATATGTTTTATTCCCGTGACTCCAATAAATTCGTAAATTGATTCTGAAAATGTAGTCTCTTTTGATAAACAAATGATGGAGAAGTGAAATTGTGACAGAAATTAGTATGTAGTACTCAATGTACCACATAACTTATGAAAACTATTTTTTTTTAGAAAAATTTCATGGACGTTGAAGTCTCTTCACAATCTTAGACATGGAAAATAATCATTACATAATGTACTGTTTCATAAATTCCACTCGGAAACATTTGATATGACTGTTTGAAAAGATATTCGTCAAGATAAGGTGTTGTCATATTATCCATTCAATTTCACGATGGATGAATGAGTAATAATCCAGCTAACTTCCACAGTTTACAAATCAATTACTTAAGAAATGAAACTCCAAACAATTTCTGTTACCTAGACAACACTAATTATGATTATAAAAACACTTCAGATGAATATACCACCAGCATACATTTTAGACTTCAATACAAATTTTACATGGACTCTACCGCTGCCATGTTCCGTAATACTTTTTATTCACATTTCTTTTTTGAAAACTCAGTAACACTTATAACCGTAGTAGCGTATCTAATTGGATTCACTTAGTAATGTTAAATCACGTGACTATTTCCGTACAAGCTTTCCGTGGGAAACTGCTGACTGATAAAACCTTTGCTTAGTTAATCAAATATTCAACTTTTATTCCCATAATCAGATAAAAATAGAAGCTTGACACAGAGACTTACTACTACAAGTGATCGTTCTATCGAGATCCACGTTTAAAATAAGAACAGCACATTCATTTCGCAAAAATAGTTTGGAATTAGAATAATGAACAAGTTTTGGATGAATAACATCAAACTGTACGGGCTGGTACTATGCTATCCCATATAGAGTATTCTAACCTCTGGACTGACCAATTTATCCATTCATCTAAAGCCACATTTTTACTCTGACACTTATTTGCTTATCAACCCCATCTGTTTTTTATATAATCATGTGTATTACTTACTACTTACCACATTTACCATATATCTGTAACTTATTTTTGTTCGACTATAAGCATTGATTCATGCTTGGTTAAATCGACCAGGTCTGAAGCCAGCTTGATTCTCTCGTGTTTGCAGTTCACGAGTCTTTGTCAGGTATCCAATAACCATTGAGGCTAGTATTTTAAATAATATATTAGTTAAACTAATCTCTCTATGGTTGTCACAGGATGATTATAACTTTCTCTTATATATTGAGACGATAAGTGTTTGTGACCAGTCAGATGGGATAACGTCTAATTCCCAGATCTTAGCTAAAATATTAGTCAACCTAGTCGCTAAAATTGGACCAACATCCTTAAAGACCTCTGGAGACAATCCACCTGCTCTCACTTGTTTCAGATTAGCTATAACCTTCTGAACATCAACAAGAGTCGGGAAATCTACTTCAAAGTTTCATTCAGGCTGTCTGGGAATGGAGTGTATTTGTAGAGTAGCTGAAGGCCAGCTCAACTTTCCTAGGGCTCATAGCAAACAAATGTCATCTTTTTCCGAGATAGTCTCACTTACACTTACAAGTGAATGACCACCTAGGATCTTGTATGCGTGTTTCGGAGGCACAGCATACATCAATAGTACGAGATTCTAGAGTTTTAGCCAAGGAGGCCTGTTGGCCGACTTGACATAGGATACGTACGTCGAAAGCTTCATTGTGCAATTCGGAGAGAGGTTTCAGTAGACCTGGGATTGTTTCGCGCACTACAATCGTTGGCCATGGTGACACCTGAGGAGAAAGTCAAAAGAGGAAGTTTAGAATTGAAAGTCGAGGTAGGGGGAATAATAGGAATTGAAGAGGGAGATTGATTATGAATAGTGAACTTGAGTGCTGTTAAGGGTATGAAGGCAGTTATCACTTCCTAGTTGCACACATCGTGGGAGGGTCCTTCTAGTTGTACGTGAAAAGGAAATTGGGTTAGAGGTGGTCTTAGTGACCTGAGAGTGTGACTGCAGTATCCAAGCAACAACTGCCTGAGGCCAGTCACACACACAACCTTTTTGTGAGTAATTTTCGTGTTAGCTCCGTACTTATTGGGACCCTGCCGCCGGACACGGAAATCTATGGTATAAGGCGAAGTGTGCATTTTTAGGGTCTACCGTTTCTAGCATGGTAGAACGATTGTTCCAGCCCGACCACTAAGTCAAGGTAGCAGCAACGGTTGGGCATTTAAGAAGTATCAACAGGGTTAAAGAAAACTGCCGAGTAATTAACCATGTTCGTAATTCGTTTAGTAAATAAATAAATAAATAAATATATATATATATATATATATATATATATATATATATATATATATATATATATATATATATATATATATATATATATTATAAAAAAAATATACCAGCATAACTAGTCTCGTTGAATAATATCAATCTATAGATGCACATATCTGTAGTATTTGTGGTACAGTTCTATAACACTTCTAAACACAAGCCCATGAGAGACTGAAATTACATACAAAACCAGGGTTTAACGAAATTATGTATGATTCTGCTTGAATGATTTATATCATTGATTTCAGTACATTCACTTCTAACAGCGAATCGCACTAAGTTTTTGAATCAACTAGAAAAAACCAAAATTTACAAGCTAATGCTTTTTCTGTCGCATGAAAATACTAGTTACCACATGAATATGAACATGTATAAATTTATCCCTACGCCGCCAACCCTCAATGTATATTCGACTGAATAAAGAATAGAGTAAGAGCAGAAGAACATTCGTATTTTGTTATTGTATTTTTGGAAAAGGAAATTTACGAAACAAAGTAGAATAATCTTAATATTTTAGAAGTCATGTAGGTGGTCAGTACCACGAGAAGGCGAAATTTGGCAGAGTTTAGAGAAAAGAAGTAGTCGACAAAATAGAAACTTATTTATGACATTGGATATAGTCTCTTGATTTAGAAAATAAGTAGAGAGAAAACAACTAAACTAAAATATGAAAAGGAAGTATATACTAATTCACTTTTGTATTGGTTACTTGGATTTTCCCATTGACGTTTAGGACTGCAATTGATCAGTCTCTTATTGATATATGTGAACATCAATTTGGGATGTAGGTACATCCAGCCGACGAGTCCCAAATAGGACGAAACGCGTGTCCTGGATTTCACTGTTAGCCACCATTATCTCAGCTTAGAAGTATATACTATTTTGCACAATGTGTTGATCATTATGAAAGCAAACAAATATTTAGTTAATTCTTTATACAAATGAATTATTTTCTCTACTGATCATATGCCTATATTCATGCAATTTGATTATCAAGAGGAACCTTATCACTTAATGAATACTTCAAGCTGTTCAGTCAGTTGTAATATTCATTTTTTATAAAACCTTTCTCACTGATAAACTTGAATAAAGAAGGGACAAATATCGTAGCAGAACATCAATTCATTTATTACGTGGATTCTCCTCAGCTGCTTACAACCTAAAACCACAGTATTAATCATTAAAATAAATGTGCATATTTTTAATCAGAAATGTCTAGAATAAACTGAGTTAGAATGTGGATATAGATTAATATTAACAGACCATATTACGAAAGAAATAAAATTTTAAATCCTGAGTTGGAAATACCAAATAACTTTAGTACATTTAACTGAAGTAAAACAGATGGGATAAACCAAACTTTCAGATCTTATGACTAATTTTCATCACCAAACAGTACGGTAACAATATTTTGCAAAACTTAAGATACCTTAATAATTGCTCAAAGATAAATAAATAAAAAGTCTCGAACCGTGATGTTTTACCACATTAGCTAAGGACAATGCTCATTAAAATCTGATACTACATGTTTTAATCGTTATTTGCATATATGAGCGTTCTACTCACAAGATAATTATGGATAATAAAACAATGCAGATGAATAAGTCCCATATACGACCCAAACACACATTATTGGAACAAATAATTCGACAGAGTAAAAACTATTTGCTTGATACCCTTTAGTTGAAAATAGTTAGTGTTTCTTCTAATTGTCAACTAACATAAACTCTGTAGTTGAACTGAAGTCCACTAATGGTAAATTACTTATTCTGTCATCCCGTAAAGTTGACGTTTCTGTCCTCCCGGTAAAAGAAAACTGGGTCCTAAACGCTGCGTATTATGGCTAGCAAAAATTGAAAATACATGTGTGATGCAATGGGCTTGTTGGACTACATCATCTAAATTGGCGCAACTGTAATAAACTCATTTCGCTCCATGGAATTAAACGCATTACAACTTTAAGCACTAACAATAAATAGCAGTTAATACGGAATGCGAAAGTGTTGTAAAACACTAAGCTGAGCTCTTATGAATAAACTGTTTGATACACCCACCATGGCAACACTGTGGCATCCATCATTTTAAAACACAGCGTCTCAGTTATAACACCCTCATAGCCCATCTATAGTTTTCACACACTACTTATATTAATGACAAGTGTATGCTTAAAAGATTTATTACTAGTGCGGTGTCCATCCCATCAATAATTGTGTACTATGAAATAATGTCACTAGTAATAATACATTTTCGCATGCAACTTATGCTTCATGTTACTAATAATCTCACTTTTAACATTCCATTCAAATAACTTAACCACACTTTTTTAATGCCTCCTCTCCCTTTGTATCAAACTTGATCATACCTGTAAATGGATGTGAATTCAACGATCACTTTTAAAATATCCTATAATTATTCCATAGCTTGTTTGCTAGAGATTAATAAAGAAACAAACAAATTTATCATATTTATAATATAAGGTAAATAATTTATACAACTTAATTCACATCACGAAGTTACAGATTGAGAGAAATATTTCTTGTTAGATTTCCTTAATGGAGTTTGGTGTGTATTTTGAAATGGTGAATATGAAGTACTTGCTTTATGAGTGTCTTCCAAAGATCTAAAAGAAAAAAACAATTAGAAAACTACCGTAAAATATCCATCAAGTCTAATTGATTGACCACAAAAGATTAATAAGGATAATTCAACAACGTTGAAGAAATGACTAGACTGAAACACTCTATATATGTTTTAGGAATGACATATCTTCATAAAGAAAAGCTCTCAAAATTTAGCTTATCAAGACTGTCACCCAGTTAGTACAGTATAAGAAATCAAAATGTCCGTTAAGAGTGAATTTGAGTAGTTTTCAGGCTTCTTACGATGATACACAGTGGGATAGTACAAATAGCAGTGATTTCAATTAACTGGGTTACTGAATGTGGGTGAAAGTGGCGAAGTATGGACACAACGGGGTTTCAGAGTAATTTAAAAAGGTCAGTCGCAGCTAGAATAACTGTAAAATCGAGAAATGTATGTTTAAACACAACGGGAAGTATTGGTTTATCCAAGATTGTAGATGCCTTGCTGATAGGTGTACTAGTACTGAACATGAATCACGTATGGCGCTTTGGTAATTATTTTCACCACCTAACATATTTACCCCATACTTCACAACTTTACCCTCGATGCGACAATCCATGCATCTTGTGACCATAGAGCTTAATATCACAATCGATTAATACAATAATATGGAAGTAAACAGTTTACGATTTTCAAACTGCAGCAAAGTCACAAGTACAACTACTTATCACTTCCAACCATACACTATTAACGTATCCAACAAAGAAACGATAGTAACAGTTGAAGCCATAGATATATCAATACATGGAAGATTTTAATTGACTTTGTTTTTAGAACTATGAGGAACTAAATAGTAGGTATCAATGTCAGGGTTGGACTTGATAGTTTCAAATAAATTGAGCATTGGGTAGAAAGTTAATAATTAATATATCTTTCGTTAAATCCCAATGAGTAGAAAAATTGTATTTCTGACATTCCGTGACTTATTGTAAGCCACTTCTTCAGAGTAAATAAATAACCGAATTAAATTAACATAAGTTTAAACAGTACTCATTGGAATGTAACAGAAAATATATTTATTATTGAACTGAATAGTACTTTTTGTGCAATAGAAAAAAAATTAGCACAAAAGTAAGGATTTTGATATTGTCCAGTGGTAGTGTGACACGTACCGAATGCTAACAACTTGAAGTTATAGTAAACTAATGTGATTGGCAGAAGTGAAAAGCGACTGGTTTCCCTGTGAGCTACATTTTCATTTATGATTAATCATTTATCATCTAAAAAGTCATACTACCTTGGTTGGACATCTCGTATATCCAATTAGTTTGCAAAGTTTCAGTTAATCAAATTAGGCTAATCCAGTTTTTATCAGTTATTTCGATCATCATATCATAAACTAGAAAAACCAAATGGCTAAAATCCACTAAATACTGAGATAAAAACAGATGATACAATAAAGATTTACCTTGACTTTCGTCGTTTTCTAGCTCTTTTTGTGATAGAAAAGTTGTCTGAAATTTCATTGAAGTTATATGAAGACGATGAAGAAAATTCGTGATGAGATAATAGAACGCTTTGGGACTTTAACTTTCGATTTTCATTATTAACTTTTTTCCTTTTCTTCGTCGTTTTTTCAATTTCAAGTGACGGTAGAACGTCCCACTTTGCAAAATCCATTCGCTGTTTTATGGCCTTTTGTTTCAAATTACCTGATGAAAAATCGACAATGATATGATTAGAGTTAATAAAATTATCACTGTCTGATAAACAGTGTTTCATTAATAATACTATTTGAATTATTATATTATGACTAAAACAACACTTTGAGTCTTTCCATCAAACTACTGCTAATTAAAATACTTTTCGTTTAGATTCCTTACAAAAAGGCAAAAGATACATAGATTTCAGGGAGTAACACATTTCAACAATAAGTAGAAAGAAATATAAAACCAAATATTAAAGTTACATGCAACCAATCATCCTATCTACACTTTCCAACACACTAGACTCAAATCCATCTTCCCTCCGCCCTCTAAGCCATTAATTAAACAAGAAAATATTTAAGACTTGCAGATTTATGGAAAATAACTTAAATTAACAGGCATTAATATAAACACAACTATATATCTATTTGATATAAACATAAAACTTACTTATATATGGAGATGAAGAAGCTTTATATGGTAATTCTTGTTCCATGACCTGTTGTAATTTCTTTTGATTGATTGATTTACAAGATTTATTGTAAGACGAACAATTAGTTCGGTTGTCTAATTTTTTACATTTTTGTTTTCTTTGTTTAGATGATTTGGGATGTATACACAATTGGTAATCATTTTCATTATCGATTACTTTACAATTATCTACCTTCTCTAAAATCTTTTTACATTTGGTTTTCTTTTCACGTAATTTGGTTAACTTTAAGCGAATAGACTTATATATATCTTTTTTATCATAAACCAACACTCTTCTCCTTGGCAAAGGACCAATAAAATGAGATTTTAAAGGTTGGTAACGACAATCCTTAAGAGGAATAAAATTAAAAAGTACAATGCATATTTAGTTATTGTGATAAAACAAAAAGAGAAAATTTCAACACAATAGCGCTATTTTAAAAAGTATTATTATTCGTTTTAATGACACATGATCACGATCATAGTGCTAACATAAATTGCAATGGGAAAATGATTCCTTTTCAGCAGCATATAAATAATTTGAATGGTTGAATATTATCATAATACTTTTATTTACTTACTAACTTTCAATTATCTCAACTTAACATCATTCTTCTGTATACAACATTAAAAAGTATAGAACTAGTTAATTTAATAAACAAATTAAACCAAAAGATTTTAAGTTAATATGTTTTAAATCTAATAAAGCAGATTCTATGTAACGGTTTTTTTGAATAAAAAAAGAAAGGAAATCACAATAAGTGTAAAACAAGAAAGTATTATTACCACTAAGAAAGTACTGTATTATAATACTAAAAATGTACATACCATATATAATACATTCAGATCTTTATATCATACAAATGTCAATAGAAAAATGACCGTTAATCAGACATTAGAATCAAGAACCTATTTAACGATCATTTTCAGTATTGTTTATAATTAAGTAAACAAATATCGATTTGTGCATCCGGCTTAATTTCATACTTTTTGTTTGTGAGGGGTTAATGAAACTACCTAGCTAACAATACCGAAGGTGGAACGTGGTTCGAACTTGAAGTACTGAAACTCAAAGTTTGATACCTTGTTCAGTAAGTTGTCGGTTTACTTTGGTTACTACAATATCAAGAAACAAGTATATTTCCATTAGTTCCCAATTAACACCAACACATTTGTACTAGAGTTGAGAGATTTGAGTAATACTGAATGTCAAAGATAAGCAAGATATGTGTTGATATATGGAGATACTTAACCAAATGGGAGTAAGTAGACATTATTTTGGCAACACAGCTTCCATATTCTACATACTTAATCTTATCATATAATTCATGTGAGTATAAATGCCTAAATGTAATATAAATTAGCTACTCTTAGCCAAAAACTTAATCAACAGCTTAGACGTAATATCACTGTTGTGCCGATCAAAATTAGCATAAAGTAAAGCATCAGCAATTATATATATGCATATGTCATCATTACATAAAGTTTTTTATGTGTTTGGTTACTTCAGTCTCCGAAAGTCTATTTTAAAAAAACCAGATCGTAAAGTCGTAGCCAAGTATCCCATAAATAAATTTATCAGTTATCCGAGCTTAAATACAACTGACACTTCAGTCTGTTCAGGTGTATTCTAGTGAGTTGCCAAATTTATTAATTTATATTTAATAAACTGATGGATTATGTTATTCCATAAGATATATAATATAAATGTAATTCACCATCTTTTTTCAACTAAGAAAGCAATAACGTTATCGAACTAAAATATTACATTGATTTATAAAATCAGTGATTTGTGAGTCCTAAACTTTGTACAAAACAGTTTAATATTTATGAATATACTTTAGTTACAAAACATTAGCGGATTAACTAATATACTTTACATTTGATCACTAAGCAATGTGTTCATACTCCCTTCTATAGTGACAATAATTTGACAATAAAGCATTAAAATTACCCCTCATCATACAGTACACGTAGTTTAGTGCGGAGTATATAAATATATGATTATAAAATCCAATCATAATTGTAAATATACGGAAGGAATGAAAAATGGGCTAAACATGTGGAATGTAATTATCGAAAGAAAATACCAGTAACACGGTAACACATACATCAACAGTATGTCCTTTACGTCCACAATTACAACAGCCTTTTGATTTCACAAAGTCAAACAACCGTATTGGTTTGCCTTTACTTGTCTACAAAGAATAAAATAAAATATACAGAGATCATTTGTATAATTATGTGATGAAATAAGATTTTTAAAAATGTTCATGTCATGTAAATACGAAAAGAGAACATACTGAACAGAGCGAAATCTCAATTCAATGAAAATCAAAAACTTTCGCACATTTCATTAATATCTGAAATATAATAGAGCATAAACTACAACAAATAATAGTCTATCAGTACTCACGATCACGACTACTAGTTACATACAATGACAAAAATACAACTCAACGAATTATTTCAAAATATCTATATGAAACGTTTTCAACAATATGACCAATGAAACTTAATCGGATTAAAGAACTTGAATGGGAATTCGTAATAGAACAGAATTAAAAAGTAATTTAAATGAATTCCACTTCCATGATCACATAAAGCAGCTCAGTCAGTAGCCTTTCTAGGGTTACCATCGGTCCAAAGCACGGATAAAAAAGACAGTCAGGCATGGGTTCACCAACAACTTCCCGTACAAAACAACCCTAATAAAATACACTAACCACAACAAACAATTTAAACTCCGAGTTCAGCGATCTTCATTCAGAAGAATCATGACACCTCATGGTGAATGCCGAAATTCTCAAGAAATCACGAGGACGATGTCCCTTCTAACAATCACAGCAACAATTAATATAAGTACACGGAATATCTGGACAATGTGAAAGACCGGTTAGAACCAGTCAAATAACTACGGAAATAAGGCGATACAAATTGTCGGTGCTCGGAATCAGTGAAACACATTAGACCCAAGCTGGAAAGAAGAGATTATATTCAGGAGAGATGCTGCTGTACTCTAGTCACGGGCAACAAAATGTTCTGCATACACAAGGAGTTATACTGATACAGTTCAAAGAAGCACGAAAAGCACTTGTGGGATGGAAATATCATGCATCCAGAATCATCAAAGCATACTTCAAACACAAAGAAGAAAATCACAATGAATGTTATCCAATATTATGCACACACCAATTAAAGCATCGACGACGATGAAGATCAGTATCGTGCGAGGCTGCAAACGATTGTTAAGGTGTGCCCAAGAAAGGGCCTGACCATTCAAATGGGAGACTTAAACGCCCAAGTCGGAATGGACAACACCAGATATGAAGATAATATGGACTGATTGAGAGGAAGGGACGAGAATGGTGAGAAATTCGCAAATTTATATGCATTCAACAAAATGATTATTGACGGTACTATACTTCCTCATAAACACACACAAAGCTACAAGCCTTCCACCGAATCACACTACGCAGAACCAGATTGATCGTATTTGCATCACTAAAATATTCAGAAGGCCAATGGAAGACGTGAGAAGCAGGATAGGAACTGGCATAGATTCAGATCGCCATTTACCTGGTGGTTGCCAAGATGAAACTGAAGCGAAGCAAGCACTCGACAATCGGAGAAACAACATTACAAAGGTTTAATACAGAAATCCTTCAACACACTGACAAAGTCAAGGAGTTTAGTATAGCTCTGAACACTCCACCAACAGTCGAAGAAATCAGGATAGTCATTAGACAAATCAAGAGTGGGAAGACTGAAAGACCAGACAACATACCAATTGAAGCACTAAAGTCGGACATTGAAATAACTGAAGAGACGCTCCACGTTCTATTCAGAAAGACACATCATCAAGTCAGAATATTCAATACGAACGTGAAAACAGTCCTACTGTATGGAGCCGAAAGGTAGAGAACTACTACAACCATCATCAACAAGGTACAAGTATTTATAAATAAATGTCTACGCAAGATACTTAACACCCGTTGGCCGGATACCATCAGCAGCAGCCTACTGTGGGAGAGAACAAACCAGCCTTCAGCTGAAGAGGAAATTAAGAAAACACGTTGGAAGTGGACAGGACATATTTTTCGGAAATCATCAAACTGCAACACAAGGCAAGCGCTAACTTGCAATCCTGAAGGGAAACGGGAAAGAGGAAGGCCAAAGAACACTGCGTCGGGAATGGGAAGCAGACATCAAAATAGCGAATAGTAACTGGAAAAAACTGGAAAGGATTGTTCAGGACAGAGTTGGTTGAATAATCTTATTAGGTGGCTTATGCTCCTCCCCAAGGGTTAAGAGGCGTAGGTAAGCAAGATTATGTAGTGCTTTGAATGAACAACTGTAAGTTGTGAAAAAATATATTAAGTAGGACAATAAATGGGCCATACATTCTACCATGTACCTGAATTAAATTTACCGCTCTACTATTCAGAATAATAAATATCAATTGATTCGATAAACTACTGAACGTTTAGCTATCTACTACATGTCATCAACTGCTAACCTTAGTATTAAATGATTCTAAAACATGTTAGATATCCGATATATGTATAGGTTTGCCATCGGTTGACGTAAATAAAAGTTTGATTGATAAAGGTTTTGAACTCTAAATTGTTGGACAGCCGTTGACAGAAAACCAACGGCAAGCGAAAGATTCTACCGCGTACACGCGTAGATACAGTGATGATGGTACTTTAAATAAAGTATATCCAGAAAAAAAGGATTAACTCACGGTATTTCGGTATTGTCTCCATAATTCTGTACACAACTGCCAAAAAGAAAATACGAAACAAATATATCACATCAGCACATTATAACAGAAATAAAAATTTACATCACACACGAAATTTACATGAAACAAACTGGTTAAGAAACTAACGTTTTTGACAATATAGAATAAACAGCAGTATTACCATATACAAAGCTCAAGTGATAAGTCTATTAAACAACTATTTGGGTTGCCTTAATAATTGTATAATGAATATTTGTGTTGCTCTAAAAAATTAAAAGACATCAAACAGCCATTATGTGTACATAATTAGCTAGATTTTTCCCAGTAACAAACCTAACGTAAGCTTGGTATAGATTTTGAACTCACTAGCAAGAAAATGTTCAGTAAAAACACAAAAGCAGGTCAGAATGAAGGGAAGTATCTGTTTAACTAAAGTTATAAGAAGTCACGTTAGCAATCAGAGTTTTTTGAAAAAATATCCATATTCTTGAGGTCAAGAAAAAAATATATAAAAACTATGACTTACTTATTTAAACGAAATAAACATTGATAAGATAGAACAGTGTCACATGTTCATATGTAATTAATCAAGTGAAACTTAGTTATCTAAAACCTCTCACATGGTTTCCTACGGAAACAAGATCATTTATACTATAAAGCATGTGATGAGTTAGAAATTAATAATAACAGTTGGTTAGTAAGCACTGGCATAAATGATCTTCGATCACTTCAGTTAATAGAACACTTTATACGGCTACACCTCGTCGTGACATCATCAATAAAATAATAATGAATAATGGTAATAATAATAGTAGTGATAGTGTCAATAATAATAATAATAATAATAATAATAATAATAATAATAATAATAATAATACGACCGAAAGCATTGTAACAAATCTAACTGGTACAGATGAACCTCATATTTTTCACAATATTTACCTTAAGTTTTTATACTACTTGCAGTAGTTTGTAATAATAAAAGTAATTTTTGGACTGGAATATAAATTTTTTGACTTATTGTGCACATAAACGAGTTCCCAACTAATAGAAATCATTCAAATATTCGGGTTGTTTTAATTTCCTGACTAAAGCACAAACATGTTGACTCAGTTTTTGAAAGTTACATATTTATATCATAATATTTATCCTATCATCTAAATAAAAGGAACCATAATTGCATAAACTACTACGCATACAAAGTTAATAACATTTCAGTACTGTAGTACAGTATTAAATATAAAATCAATGGGATATGTTAAGGCTGTCGGTAAGTTATTGACAACCAATGACAATCAGGATTTGGGCAAAATATATTCAGGAATAAAAACAGAGCATCATTTAGATTTTAATAGTTGAGATCTTGAGTCAATTGAAGCTAGACCACCAAGGAAAACCTGAAAGCACTAGACAGCCTGATTTTTAAATTAATTCAAATCCCGAAATCATATAAATGAGGATGCCAAAAATGAGCTTTCCACAAGGATCCGATAGGGATATTGTACTGTTCAGTTACTCCTAATGGAATAAACCCATGAAATTAAATAAGTCCTAATAGACGAAAAATAATACTGTCATACTGTTGAATTATGTCCTTGCTGTCCACAGCGTTCGCAGATTGATTTTTTCAAACTTTTCAACAAATGGCATTCATGCTTTGTGTGACCAGGCGCCAAACATGCATAACAATACATTTTATCGCATTCACCTTTTTCATGACCCTCTTCTCCACACAAAATGCAACACTACAATATTGAATAAGAATATAAAAAATGAAAAAATAATAATAATATATGTACAGAAAATGTTAAAGTACCAAATAATGGTCTTGATCAATAAAGAGTCAATTGCTCTAATGTAGGAAATGACTAGAACCTGGAATCTTGAAGATAACACAAAACAAACTTGCTTAAATCGGAAAGCTATTTTGTTTGATGTTTCTTAAGGCCCTCAGATGTTCTTTGGATAAAATATTCGACCTTGGTGTCAATGAAACGAAACATCGGTCGGCAATATCAACTAACTTTGATTTGAACCACCCGTTGGAAACCTGGAAGCACCGTCCAGTGCTTCCAGGTTTTCAACGGTGGTCAAACATCAATTAATTCATGATCTCAACCAAAAACTTAACAATCTCCACAACCCCCATACTGATAATTAACATGTGCTCACTAGTGACTAGAGCTTCGTGAGGGAACTCTCGGAGTTCTAATGAGAAGTCGTGACCAGTGGAGCTAATCCGTGTCGGGTAGAGACAGGTATCTACCTCAGTACAATGGAAGGTGGTCGCGCAATTTCGTGGATTGGTTGATGTTAGACACTAACACCATTGGATGCCGGCTCAGTGGTCTAATGGTTAAGTGCTCAGGCGCGAAGCCAGTAGGTCCCGGGTTCGAATCCCGCGGGGTGCGGGATCGTGGATGCGCACTGCTGAGGAGTCCCATACTGGGACGAAACGGCCGTCCAGTGCTCCCAGGTTTCCAACGGTGGTCTAACATCAATTAATCCATAGTCGGTAAAGCCGGTTGGCCCTTCTGGAGAAGAGGCAAAATAGAAGCACGGCATAACTACCAGGGTTCAACAGTTGTTTATGTAGGTTTTTTTGTTTTGGATTTTATTTCCTTTTCAGTGATTACCGACTAACTGTTTACTACGCAACAGTGATTGATAATTCCTTTTTTGTTGATGTCGTCTTGCATCCTAGATATGGGCAGTGGTTAGATATGTACCACCGACAAACTGGAAAAAGTGATGAACGTTGAAAAATACCTAAGAGACAACTGTTCCCAATGTAATTTATTGACAAATATAAAGAAGCCTAGAGAAAACAAGATGGAAGTGACTACAGTCAATAAAAAACCAATATTCATAAATCATACCTTCAAAGGTGATGACGTTGCAAGCGCAATCAACAAGAGGCTTAATACTGCATAAGCCAGAACTTACCCGGCAGCCAAGCTATTAATTCCGTATAAAACACGTTCAATAACCCAATCAAAGATCAACAAGCACCCCTTTCGTGTTACCATCAACTGTGTTTATAAATTTAAGTATACCTGCCAAAGCAGCTACATTGGTCGAACAAAAAAGGGGGTACATCTTTGATATTTCGAACGTGTTCCAAAAAGCCTTAGTGTTAGATTTTAGAGAAGATTAAATTATGGTAACTCCTGAGAGCTATTAATGGACTAATACTATTATTGTATAACTACTGAGTAACTAGATTCTGCATATTTATATTTCTCTTATTATAAGCTTTATTTTGACCTATAGACTATTATTATACGATTTGCTACCCTTAAGTTATACCCAGTTTATTAATTACAGGGTCTCACAATCACAGCCACAGTTTGACTTGGTCGTGTACAATTATTATTTTCTATTTTATGATAAGATATTGTCTGGTTGGCTTGCATATAAACCAAGTATGTTTGAAATATATTATTCTTACAGTGGAAGCTGTTATCAGCGTTCTGGACTCAACAGGACGGGCTAGGCAGGAAAAGGACAAATAAGGAAGCTAGGCTGCTCATACCGGTCAATACGTTATTGTCGTGGTACAGTATTAAGACCGTATATGTTGTATTCTGATTGGTTACCTTATCACGTGATATATTAACCGGCCACAAGTCATAACACTTAGAACAAGAGAAGGAACGACTTTAAAGTGTAATTACCACACATCTCTTGGATGCAGAACATCAGGTCGATACCATGCAATATTCCAAGGTGATTATTAAATAGTCTAGCTCCAGTCTTCTGAAGTTTACTGGAGCCATTGCTGATGGGCGTCAAAAACCTGATTTATGTGCTCAAAAGGAGACGGTTATAATTCTTTCCTTGCCTTACAGACAGATATTCCTCCGTTGCATCGTAAGAAAATTTTCAACTCTTTCTTGCACTTATTACACCCTTGAGTCTTTTTATTTCGACTTTATTCCAGATTAGTAATCTTATTTTATTAAGTGAGCTTTACTCGTTTTATTCCTATCAGCGTTTACTCATCGAGATCATTTGTTTTTGACCCTTCGAACTCTTGTTACAACCAGTGTTGTAGAATGTTCTTTTACATAAAGTATATATTTACAATATTCAGTCTATTGAATTCATTTACACTCTTGCTATACTACACTGATGTGTCTTCAAAATAACGTCCAAATAAACTCTCTCATGTAAGTAATTTAAACACATTTTGTAGCTATTTTTAAATATCATAGGTTATAAGTAGATGATGAGAACTAAAGGAAATAAAACGAATTCACGCTACTCTGATAGAATCTTTGTTCTTGCCTTCTTCAAAATGATAAAGGGAACTATGTTTATGAAAAAAATAGTATTAATTATTCGTAACCAATGTACATAATTTACGTCATATTAACGATTAGTTGAATAACCACAGGTATGGAAGTATCATGTATTCAAAAAGTAAGCGGCTGCAAATCTTTTCACTAATCAATTATGCAATTTCATATTCGCACTAACAAATTCGCTTTATGTTCTTAAGTTTCACTCATCTTAATCTGACATTCTAGCAAATGCTATGGTTGTTATTACGTAACTTTAATATTTATTTTCTAGGAACGGGTCTCCATGTGTTTTAAAATTTTTCTGGAATTCTCACATTTAGTGACAAAAATATTCACCCACCTTGGTAATTTGTAATTCATCCATAACTGCTGATGTTATTCTAATCACTATAAATTTTGTACACTGGTTATAAATATTCATTTTTCTAGGTTGTAAGCAGCCGAGAAGACACAAAATAAATGAATTCACCTTATTTTACTACCCTTGTTGTTATTACTCTATTCAAATTTATGGAAATTTATTGGATCCAACAAGAATGTTCAAGGGTACTTTTAGGTTTTCTAACTCAATGAGGGTGATACCTCAAAGTTCCTGATAAAGAAAATACATTACGGTAAAACAACTTTGAGATACATCAGCACAAGTCTGGTTGTGGATAATAGTAGCTAAGTGCTTCAATCAGAGCCCTAAGAAAGCTAACCTGCAAGAACAGAAAGCTAAAAACCCAGTCTAAATGCAATATTTTAGTCTGATCTAACTTAACCTTTCCTCTTAAGATTGGAAAAGCCCTATAGCCTGAAATTTTGGTCCCTTCAATAAGACATTTAACTGCTGTCATACTCTTCCAAATCTAGTAGTAGAACATTACCCTCAGAATACCCTCATAATACTGTACAGTAGTTCGCTGGCATTTTGTATATGTGTGAAATGGCAGTTAACAAAAGCAACAGAAAGAATTGACAATGAATATACATGATAATGGTATGATGATGATCTATTTTATTATTTTATTTGAACACATATATGTTGGTACAGGAGTGCACCGAATATATATGCGCCACACAAAACAATGAGAATTTAAGAAGAAAAAAAATGAGGAACGTAAAATAGAAATAATAATAATTAAAAAAAACAATAACGAAGAGATTGGTATAAGGGAGTGTAATAATAATCGTAATAGTAGGGGAACAGAAGGGTACAATCAAAAGAAATCTTTCAGTTAAGGAAGATACAACCACATTTTATGAAGAAAGTAAAAGAAGGTTACAGCAGGATCGCCACTGGCCTCTATTCTCAGCCATATCTCATAACGTCTCTAGCCACTGTGTAGCACCACCTCTCGAACCCCAACCAGGGAGTCGTGAAAGACCGACACAAGCCAGTCCTTTGCAGCTTTCTTTCATACCACGACACCATGTCATGCACTGACCACCTCTCCGCTTCTTCCAACCAGTCCCAGAGTCGGCAAATAATGCACGACGTGGAATTCTCTGGGACGACATTCGGAGAACATGTCCAAGCCACCGAATTCGGTGTTTCAAGATGGTGACACCAATTGGATTACCGTCTCTGTGCTCGAACACACGATGCCGAACCTCTACATTACTAACATGATGTTGCCACATGATGTCAGCAAACCTTCGGAGACAACGATGATCGAATACAGAAAGTCGTCTAACGTCCTCAACTCGGAGAGGCCAGGTTTCACAAGCATAGAGCAAAACTGCTCTCACCGACGCGTTGTAGATCCGACCTTTTTCAGCCAGACTAACATCACGAAGGCGCCAAAGATGGCCCAGATTGGCATAAGCCTCTCTGGCTCTCACTATACGTGTATTGATTTCATCACTCACGCCACCACCAGCACTCATGCAGCTACATAGATACACGAACTTCTCAACTACTTCTATCTGCTCACCATCCAGAGTGAGTACAGGATTAGAATCCTGGCAGTCTTGTAGCAGTACTTTGCACTTCGAAGGTGCAAAGCACATACCATACCTACGGACACTGATTGCCAACTGATTAAGTGCGGATTGCATGCCTTGGGCATTATCGCACAGTAAGACAGTATCATCCGCATACTCAAGGTCGAGAAGTCTTTCTCCAGGCAACAGATCCACACCACCATTACATACATTCATCAGAGCTGTTTCCAGAATGTCGTCGATGGCAAAGTTGAAGAGGAATGGTGAGATCGGGCAACCCTGCCTAACCCCACTGCTCGAATGGAACAATGGAGAGAGGTGGTTGTATGCCCTCACTCTGCCTGATGTGTTTTTATATAGGGCTTTTAGGATGTTAATAAACTTCTCAGGCACACCCTTCTTCAACAGACAATCCCAGAGAACAGTCCTGTCCAACGAATCGAAGGCAGCCCTGATGTCAAGAAACACTACGATTGTTGGCCTTTGATAAGCATGGTGATGTTCTAACATTTGGCGGAGGGTGAAGATATGATCAATACATCCTCGACCAGAACGAAACCCAGCCTGCTCCTCGCGAGTCAATCTTTCTCGGGTTTTTAACAACCTACGAAGTATGACGGGAGCCAATAGCTTGGACGCAATCGGAAGTAGACTTATCCCCCGATAGTTGTTACAGGAACAACGTGAACCCTTTTTAAAGATAGGGACAACTATCGACTCATTCCATGACGTTGGTACATTCTCTAGCTCCCACAACTTTGTAAACAACGTCGTCAGTTCCTTAGTCAGAAAGTCACCACCATCTTTAAAAACAGCCGGACGTAAGTCATCTGGGCCAGGTGATTTGTAGCGCTTCAAGAGTTGGATTTCCTTGCGGACTTCCTCTTCGTTTGGTGGATCAGTCGTCACCGGCCATGGAGGGCAGGACAGTCTGACCGATGTTACCGGAGCAGCAGGCCAGTTGAACCGCCTTTCGAAAAATTCTGCCCATCGTCCAAGACGTCGATGGATGTTAGTGATTGGCGTACCGTCATCCTCGTAGATTGTTTCGCTCACACCAGACTTCTTGCTGCCAGTGGCTCGGATGAGTTGGAAGAGCTTCCGGCAGTTACCAGATGCAGCTGCTGCTTCCAGCTCACTAGCACGCTCCGACCACCAGGCTTCTCGGTTCTTACGCAAGCTTTGCCCAATTTTCTTACGTAACATCCTTCGTTTGTGATCAAACTCACGGTCACCCGGAGAAGACCGACGGGCTTCAATGAGTTGTAAGGAACCAGAAGAAACCCAGTGCTTAAAAGCGGGACGTTTCGCAAACCCACAACTGACTGTTCCCGCCATTTTCATGGCGTCATGCAATTGCAACCAATGCTCATCTATACTTTTCGGTGAAATGGTAGCTAGCCTAGAAATTAGCTCGGTTCGATACTTACTTGCAACAGAAGTTGAAACCAGCTTGCTAACATCAATCCGTTGGTGGCAGTCACTTCGTTGTCCACTGAAAAGTAAGGTAAGATTGGCGCAGACCAAGGCATGGTCAGAGTCCAGATAGGTACTCCAAAAGCAGCGGCAGTCTTGTACACAACCACGCCAGCGGTAGCTGATCGCGATGTGATCAATCTGAGTCCAGGCTTGGGATGCAGAGGGAGGACGCCAGGTGGCACATCGGCGATGACTGTGCCGAAGGTTAGTGCTAGCCAGAAACAGGTTGTGGTCTGTGCACGGTTGCAGTAGACGGTCCCCGTTATCTGACCTGCGACCAACAAGTCCCCATCGGCCACCTGAACGACTCTCTTCTGTGCCTAGACGCCCGACCTGAGCATTCAAGTCTCCGGCTAGTACTACAATATCTGTCGAACGCACTTTCTGGAGAAGAACAGATAACTGGTGGTAAAACTCATCCTTGATTGCATCCGGGCTGCAATCTGTCGGGGCATAGGCGGAGATGACGAAAAGACATCGTTTCTCACGCCGATTTCTTCTCACTTTGATGGAACTCTCTAATCTAACAGCACATAACCGACTGTTAATGGGGATCCAATCGATTAGTGCTGCCTCAGCTCTAGCGCTTAGTGCGACACCAACGCCAGCAAGACCAGACGGAGATGCCACAGGGTCCTCGGATAAGCGCACGTGAAACAAGCTTTTTGAAGCGACAGATGGAGAGCGAATTTGTAGTACTTCACCAGAGTCTTGAACACGAGTCTCGGATAGACAGCAAACATCAATATTAAGAGTTTTCAAAGACATAGCCAGCCCTATCTGTTGTCCGACCTGCATAAATGTGCGAACGTTGAAGGCAGCCAGTTTGAATGGTGCACATGGTTTCAGAAAAACTGCTTCAGTACTCATATTCAGTGGTAACATACAATTTTCAACCGAACAGTGACTCGAGAACGTTTAGATACAGTCGAATTTCCATCATAGACGAGCTGCTGTATAAGTCGAGAAAAATAAGTATAGACAGAGTAGAAATAAAGGAGGGTGAATAATGGCGTGGTAAATAATAATAATAATAATAATAATAATAATAATAATAATAATAATAATAATAATAGCAATAATAATAATTGAATCATTTGAATGTTCGTCGAAGCAAGAGAATTAGTTTCCATGATCATAGACAGTTCAGTTCATTAATTGCGTGTGGGCTGCGATACTGCCCGGGTGCCCAAACCGAAGCATCTACTTTCATTAAAGTCATTATTTGTATGAATCAAACAAGTTATCTAGTTCTGTTTGACACCCTTACTATGTAACTGATAGGCTAGCACCAAAACCAATTATTATTTCTGGATTAATCAAGGGTTTACTGCTAGGCAAAAACCAATGAATACGGGAAATCTAATGTAAATAACACAATGTACACAACAAATCAATTGACCCTAATTTTCAGGTTGAATACGATCGAGTATCAAAATGTCATATTCATGAAAAATGGGTTGTCATGCCTGTCTACCCTTTAAAAATCAGTGAAAAGACCTTGTCAACACAAACTTACAGTACAACATCTGTGAGACTTTTGTCTTTTACTTCCACATTCTGAACAAAGTGAATTATCCAAACTGTTAAAATACCGGATACTTGTTGAGCGTGATGAGTATCTATCAGCGTTACATATCTTCCACAAATTAGGATTATCGTTAAATGTTGTCTGACATGGCACTGATGAAGAGTTATTCCCATTCTCAACATGCAGCAACGTATCATGGGAAACGCCAAGAATAACGCCTTGAGTACTGATCTCAGTCTCAGAAGATTCATTTCCACAATGCAATAAAACACTACAACCAGAACTTGATGACGAGGTATCCTTTTCACATTCATCTTCGAAACAGTCCCGTTGAACTTGAAGTGAGGTTGTCAACGCATCAGATACTTCCTTATTTACACATTCAACATGCATGAAAACAGGATTTTTAGATGATTCCGAATTGCGTAAAAATGATGTACCATTAAAATTAGAATCAATTCGTTCCGATACTAGATCATGTGATACAGGTGTGTAAATTGACGTTTCAAAGAATACTGCACTGTAAAGACGTGACTCTGTATCTTCGTCAATAAAATCACTGTCATAATCGTTTTCTTCATTTGCTTCGTAATCCATCACAACCAAATGTGAAGTTCGAAAATAGGGTCTTAAACTCAAACAGATTCAGGACAAAATAAATAAAGTAATAAGATGGTATTAACTTCTAGTGAGGCGTGTGATCTGTAGAAAATACAAAAAAGATTACAGAGACAAGTATACTGCAACCTCAAAAACCTGTTTTTGAGATTCACAAAACATTAGGTTAAAACAGTTGACAAAAGCTTTTACATTTCACTCAACCTTAATCTACTTTTACTGATTATCATAGCCATTATCGATAGGAACCACTAATATAAAAATGAATACAGACTAATAACCAAAAAGTTTTACCTACTACATTGTAAGTCATACTTTTTGTATGAGGATAAATGATCAACCTTGGTAGGTAGCATTTAAATATGTAAACTAGTGGCTGAAACCCAAAAAACAACCTCATGACTACAAGAGTCTTGCGTCTAATACCACACAAATTAACCATTTCCCTGTTTAAAACCCAAAAATCAATAGCTGCTTGGAGCTAATGGCTTTCTAGAACTTTAAAAAGATTTACAAATCTCTAATGTTACGTCCACAAGCCTTTATTTACTACAAACTAACTTTTTCCGTTAGATGATTACGAATAGATTTCTGCACACTTACTTGAGGAACTTGGTGCATTAACAGCTATGTTTGCTAGTGTTAAGATAACACCAGAAACACAATTTGAAACTGAACTACATCGATCTGTGTTGTGATAGAGGATCAGTGAGGTTAAACACGAAGCAATTTTGGAAGAAAGCTAGGTGTACCCAAAGCAAGATACTGCATTGGTGAAAATTACTGACTGTTAATCTAAGCCATATCGGTGGGTGCAAACTACCCGGTTGTAGTCCAACCGATTATCCTGACTAATGGTTAGAGAAGTTGGGTGACGTGTATTAAACCGGTAACAAATCTATTCAATATTTGTCTACTAGATCTAGAGTTTCAAGTCATCATATACGTTTTTTTCTCGGTACTACTATTTTAGTGTTTATATCAATAATTCTGTCTCTATGTTGTTACAGTGCGATGGTCAGAGACCCTAAATGACATGGTTCAAAATCGTTTGCAATGGCGCAAGTGCATCCACTTTTTGTGCTCTCCCAAATTCTAATCCTCTGAATTCTTCATGTCCCTAATTTTCTTTCCAAATTTGTTTCACTGCATTATACTCCTTGAATAACATCTTCAAACCCTAATCTTTCCGATTACTGCTTATACTCTTACTACCTCTACCACTACGAAATTTGAGTCGACAATAAACCTGCTCACATCCACGAGTAAAGCCTATCATCGTAATAAAAAGGTCACACAATGATTTACTACACAATAAAAAATCGCACTAACACAATGAACGTGTAAAATTCAGTAGATTGTTAAGGGATAATAGCAAAACTACACACGATCCTTTCTGGTGCAACGAAATCAAATGTACAGCAAGCTAAAGGAACAACTTTCAGAAAGAGAGAACTATCCGGGTTACAGTTGGCCTCCTATAGGACTGAGATGTGCTTGCAATTGTTTGATCACTGAGTAGTGACCGATGTCATGTATTTCAGATCACGATCGAATATATTCAATCAACCACCACATATCTCAATATTGTGCACGCGATATCGAGTCATCTAGACTACTTGCGACATTGCAACTTGACCGATAGAAGTCGATATATCCTAAGAAGGACCTGACACATGACATTGGTAACCATCGAGTGATCAATCAATTTTAAAGTTCATGCATGGTGCAAAGCAAGTTAATGTAAACGGAATATTATTACAAAACAGAACTCGATTATTGAAGAGCAACGTGCGATAACTATCAATGGAAATAAGAACAGAACAACCGAAGATATCGTGAGCATTAGCGAAATCCTACCGTGTCTCAAACATTTGAAGGTCCGCAATGCATCCAATGTATATCTGAAGTAGTAGGTTCAGATTCAGACTGAGATTTGTGTAGTAAAAACAGAAGGCCTAAGGCCTGTTATTCCTTTCCTAGTGTGTTTTTATGAGTTTCCAGTTTCCTCTTGGGTGAATCAACTGAAGAGTAACAGGTTCCAACAATCTATGCCTTGGTATCAAAACCTGTATGCAATGGGTATTTTGTCCGGTCTTCGCTTTTCTATTCGCCTGCTACGTCCTCTGAAATGTCCCGATCAAGTGGAAAGAAAAAGAGAATATAATAGGTCCAAAATCATTTCTTGTGATTCATTCAAAGAAAAACCTCATGGAACACAGAATGACATTACGGAACCATGTCAAACGCTGACACGTTACCTTTGATTTCGTAATGACCGTTAACGACCACACACTCCGCGAAGAAGCACTTCACATAAACACTCTTTATCTAGACCACGAGAGACGGATAACCCCGACCGGTGCTGGTATCATAACCAGTATGGAAAGTCTTCCAGAAAATGTAGAAAACCATGCAGTTTTCCCAACTCAAAATCGACCGACACAAATAACAATTCGGAAAACTTCCAAGCCGGCACGCGTTAACGGCAACCGTAGTCGGCGAACACAGCCATCTGTTATACGCCACCGATGTGATAACGAGAGTTCGCTACCTCGTCAATACTGGCGAAGAACTTAGCGTTCTCCCTGCAAATTCTAACGACTGGCTTCACGAACCGGTTTTAAATCTACAGGTGGCAAACGGAAAGCCTATCGCCACATACGGTGAAAAATACGTTTACCTTAACGTCGGTTTACGCAAACCCATACACTGGATCTTCGTTGTTGTAGATGTTTCCATGCCAATCAGTAGTATAGACCTCTCAGAACACCACAATCTACTCATCGATACGCGTAAACGGAGGCTAGTAGATGGAAACACTGATTTATCTGTTTGCGTAACTTCTTATTCCGGTTGCAGATTATCTCCAGTCACAATTAGGCACACGATGGATCCATTCTATCAACCACTACTCGGTAAGTATTCTGGGATATATCAGTCACAACCGAAATTGTCGTGTGTAACAAGCAACGTTACACATCACATCACGACTACAGGACCACCTGTATTCTCTAAAGCACGCCGATTAGCTCCCGAAAAGCTAAGGTTGGCCACAAACGAATTTGACCACATGATAGACTTAGATATCATAAGACGGCCAAACAGCCCATGGGCATCTCTCTTGTACATGGTCCCTAAAAATGACAGTAACGACTGGCGTTCAACTGGTGACTATCGGCGATTGAATGCGAAAACCATTCCCGGTCGTTACCCGTTGTTTCACATTTACGATTTGACAGCTACTTTGAAAGGTACAACAGTCTTTTCAAAAATCGACTTGGTTATAGCGTATAATCAAATCCCTATGGCTACTGACGATATTCCAAAAACAGCTATCATAACCCCTTTCGGTCTCTACGAATTTTTTCGAATACCTTTCGGCTTAAGAAATGCTGTCCAGACCTTCCAAAGGTTCATAGATGACGTTTTTCGAGGTATCAACTTCGCACACGCATATGCTGATGACTGCTTGATAGGAAGTCCGGACAGAGAATCTCATCTCCAGCATCTGGACCCTGTTTTCGAACGACTACAAAAACACGGCATTACTGTAAACATTCAAAAATGCCAAATTGGAACTGACTCTCTGTATTTCCTCGGACATACTACTGATCCTCAAGGTATCCGATCTCTAAGAAGCAAAGTGGTGGCCATTCTGGATTACCCAGAACCAACCACTGTCAAGCAATTACGCACGTTTAACAGCCTTGTAAGTTTCTATAGACGATTCACACCGAAATGCGCGTTACTTATGAAACCTCTTACCGACCAACTTCGTGGAAATGTGAAATACATCAGTTTGGACGATACCGCGCGAAAAGCATTCTCCACAGTAAAGGAACTTATCGCAAAAGTAACCATGCTTGCACATCAGGACACCCAAGCACCAATTAGTATCGCAGTAGACGCACCAGACTCAGCAATCGGAGGAGTCTTACAACAATCGCATAACCACTCCTGACAACCTCTGACATTTTTCTCTAGACGGTTGCTAGACACTGAATCGAGATACAGCACACTCGGTAGGGAACTCCTAGCTATGTATTGTGCTGTATGGCATTTTCAACACTATATCGAAGGCCGTGAATTTACCCTTTTCACTGACCATAAACCCCTTACCTTCTCTTTAAGCTCTTCTTCAGACAAGTACTCACCTCGTGAGTTTCGGCAACGGGACTACATTTCGCAGTTTACTTCAGACATACAACACATTTCTGGGGCAAACAATGTAGTTGCAGACGCTTTGTCTCGAAAGCTTCTTCTATTCCGTCCACAACCATTTGAACCATTTGAATAACTTCCTGGAACAGTTTGCAAGGAATCGACCTCCTGAAACTCGCCCAGCTTCAAAAAGAAAACGCTGATCTTCAGCACGAGTTATCGTCTACAACCCTCAAACTACGCATCAAACAGATGAGAGCAGGTAAGGAAACCTTACTTTGTGACACATCTGCAGGTAGGGATCGCCCAATCGTGCCGAAACGTTATCGACGCAACACCTCCAATATTTCGCACAAACTTTCTCATTCAGGTGTTTGTGCAACCATCAAGCTCATGGCAGAACGGTTTTGCTGGCCTGGCATGAATAAAGAAGTGAGGGAGCGGGCACACTCCTGTGTAAGCTGTCATAAATCTAAGATTATCAGTAACAACAAATGTCCCTTAGGCTTTTTCAAAACTCCGGACGCTCGTTTCAACCATGTTCATCTGGATTTGTAGGACCTTTACCAGATTCAAATGGATACTCTTACCTCTTAACCTGCGTAGACCGTTTCACTCGATGGCCAGAAGCAGTACCTATCAAGGACATCACTGCCGAAACAGTGGCCCGCACCTTCGTCGAACGATGAGTAGCAAACTCCGGCTGCCCTTCAACCATCCCTACGGATCACGGACGACAGTTCGGATCTGGACTTTTCCGTTGTCTGACCACACTATTAGGAATCACTCGTCTCAGAACGACCGCCTACCGCCCACAACCAAACGGGTTGGTAGAACGTTTTCACCGACAACTAAAAGCTTCACTATCAGATGCAAACCTTTCACAGTTGATCAACTAGGTATTTCCAATGCAGTCAAAGATGACATTGGATACTCTGCGTCTCAACTCATTTACGGAACGACAGTTCGACTTCCAGGAGAATTCGTGAATCCTTCATTCTCTTCAATAAACATGGATCTAACCTCCTACACGAACAGGCTAATAAGTGCAATGCGTTCAGTTAAACGGGTTCCCGTAGCATTGAGGTTTGATCTGTCACAGAAAAGTCTCAAAAAACATGAAATGGTAATATGGATTTCTGTCATACTCACACTAGTTATTTTATTACTCTTCATAATCACAAACGCTCCTGTAACGAAAAATAATTCCCCAAAGTAAATAGTTCTGTAAGTCTTCAACATTGGATAAAATAAAATACTGGCAAGGTCAAAGAGTTTAGTATAGCTTTGAACACTCCACCAACAGTCGAAGAAATCAGGATAGTCATTAGACAAATCAAGAGTGGGAAGACTGAAAGACCAGACAACATACCAGTTGAAGCACTAAAGTCGGACATTGAAATAACTGAAGAGACGCTCCACGTTCTATTCAGAAAGACACATCATCAAGTCAGAATATTCAATACGAACGTGAAGAAAGTCCTACTGTATGGAGCTGAAACTTGGAGAACTACTACAACCATCATCAACAAGGTACAAGTATTTATAAATAAATGTCTACGCAAGATACTTAACACCCGTTGGCCGGATACCATCAGCAGCAGCCTACTGTGGGAGAGAACAAACCAGCTTTCAGCTGAAAAGGAAATTAAGAAAATACGTTGGAAGTGGATAAAACATATATTACGGAAATCATCAAACTACAACTTAAGGCAAGCGCTAACTTGTAATTCTGAAGAGAAACAGGAAAGAGGAAGGCCAAAGAACACACTGCGTCGAGAACTGTAAGAAGAAATCGAAAGGATAGATAACTGTAAAGGATTGCCAAGGACAGAGGTCTACGGAGAATGGTCGTTGGTGGCCTTTGATCCTCATTCGGCATTTCGTCGTCTGTCTGTTTGATAATTGAGCTAGGTCCCAGCTACATTTCCCTTAAAATGTGATAAACTCGTTCAATGACTGAGATATCAGTTGATTTAAGAGTCCATTCATGTAGCAGATGATTCATTCATTTATTTGATTCCCGGTATATCTGTTTTTTACATATTCTCGACATATGTGTATTTTTAACACAATCTGTACTTCACTTCTGATATCTAATAATTCAAACGGACCAAAGAAATTAAATATGGATTGACTATGGAATAATGTTGATTCACTACTACAAATTGTCTTTGAACCTGAACATACACTAAATCAGAAGAATCATACCAGCTGTTGTATGTTCGACGAGAGCGAAGGCAAACACGAGCACAAATGTCGGGACTGTATGGCTCAGCCATTCATATATAAATATGGCCGAATACGCTGCCATACCTTCTTAACTCTGAATCTCACAAGCGATCACGCCGAATGTCCCTTTAATTAGCATATATATCGGTTTGCTTATGAATTCGGTTTTCAATAGCGTAGCTTTCTACGCCTTATTCCTAGTTAGTTGAACGAGTTTTAAGGAATCGACGATCTTCAGCTGGCCATACTTTGGGCGGAGAACAACATCTCAACCAAGGGATAACGTCTTACTATGTAGTAGTTTCCGCCGTAAAGTTATGCATCCACATTATTTCGTAACGTAAATAAACTGAATAGCGGAATGCAGTCCCGAATTAACACCGACTGAGCTCACGACGTGTTGTTAAACATTATCACCGTCAGTTGGGAACCTTCTTATCAGTTGTGATTTGACTGTGGGGTGTCAAGTAAGAAGGTTCTGGAATTCCGGACCAG